ACGCCTCTCGATAATGACACCGACGCCGCCGCCGCCGCCGGTGCGGAGGATGCCGACGGCACCGCGGAGGCTGATGTAGCCGTCGTGCGGAGTGACCGAACGCATGATGGTGCCGGGAGCGGGGGCGACGAGGTGGAGGCGGGGACGGAGCGCCGGGGGGGAAGTGAGGGGGGTGCGACGGCGGAGGCGGAGGCGGAGGGGGAGGCGGAAGCTGAGGCGGCGATGATGAAGAAGCCGCGAGACGCTCCGAAGCACTCCTCGAGTAGCCGAGAAGCGACGCAGCGGCGAGAAGAAGTGGCGCGGAATAGCCAAGACGAGAGGCCCGACAACGACGACGACGACGACGATGACACTCCTAGGAAAGAAGGCGGGGGGGGCGGGGGCAACCGGCACGAGACGAATGCTCCGAAGGAGAGGGCGCAAGAGAGCGGTGCCAACGGCGGCGGCGGGGGCGGCCATCCCGGGAATATCAGCGGCAACGTCGGCGCCGCTGCCGCGGGGGCCGCGCTGGCGGAGCTTCGGGGAACCGACGAGCGGGGGGGGGGGGGAGCCGAAGTTGTCGTTGCTGTCGCCGGCGATGTCGCCGATGAGGACCAGGAGGGGGAGGAGGTGGTGGAGGAGGAGGAGGCGGCGGCCGAGGAGTGCAAGGCTACCGGGCCGTGCGTGTGGTGCGAGAAGGATGAGGTCAACCTGGAGTACTGCAGGGAGACGGGCCGGCGGGAGGAGGTGAATGGGGATGACGTGACGTTTTTGAGGTTTGAAGCCGGGGGGATGGTGGCGTTTGAGGTTGCAGGCAGAGTCTTTTGTGTTTTATTTTGTGCGCCGGGTTTTGCTCTTGTGACACAACCGGGCTCGCCAGGAGGGATACCGTGAGGATGCGAGGGTTGGGCACTGGTGTGCGATCGGCCTTTTACATAGTTCGAACTGTTTTCTTTTTTCCCACAGGGTACGATCACTTTCTCCGTTCGTGTACGATCTCTCCGGCCCCTGTGCGAAAATCGACGTGAATATTGTGGTGCTTCCCTCATTAGCGCACACGCGATCTCTGCGACATGTGCGATACTGACGTAGGTCATGTTGGTCACACTAGTGCTTCGAACGCCTACGCGTGTGCGATCTCCACGATAACGAACAAAACATAGCACGTGCAATATTGGTCGGCCGCTTTGCGCAGCCATTGCCACCGATAATGCCCTGCCCTCTTTTTCCCTCCTGGTTCTCCCGATCCGTTGCCCTCCAACCTTCCCGCACGCTCACCCCCCCCCCGCCCGGCCCTTGACGCTGCTTTTGCGACACAGGTGCGGTGTACTGTCCAGGGCGCGGAACAGAACATGGCCGCGGGAGGCGCAGGGGGGGCGGTCGGCGTGCTGCCGAGTTCGGTCAAGTACCGTTCTTGCGCTTACGCAGAGGAAGACGACTTCCTAGGGCTCTTCCACTTTTGGGTGTGTGCCGCCCGCCGGTGTACTGCTTGTAGCACGGATAAAGTTGTGTTTTTTTCCCCGCCCCTGCGGCGCCGCTAGTGCGCGCCGTGTGTTTTTGTGTTTTTTTTAAGTTAGAATCGCACCGGCTGTGTGTGTTTGTGTTTTTCTAAATTAGCATCGACCGCGCCAACCGGCTGACGAATGAAAAGAGACGTCAGTCTTGTAGCGGGATAAAACACACGAACAGTTTCTATTCCAAGGCTAAAGGTGCTTCCGACAGGGAGGACGCAAGGGTTGGACGACACCATTGTCCTGCTTCTGCTCCATCATCTCGTTCTCCCATGCTAGCATCATCCCCCTGTACCGGGTTGTTTTCTATTCGAATGTGTGTGTGTATTTGTGTTGGTTGACGGGTTCGTGGTTCTTTCCACGGGACGCAACACCACCGGGTGTACGCCGCCGTTCATGCTTTACTGTAGCATGACGACAACTGGGTTTCTGCCCCCCCCCCCCCCCCTGGCCCCCCCTCTGTGCGTAATCTAACTGCCCAAGGGGTTTCGCACGTGTCCCCAATCCTTTTGGGGCCCCCTATTTCAAACGTTTCAATTTTGATTCAAAAAGCCCCCGGGCATCCCCCGAGGGCGTGGACATTTTTCCGCACAAACAATGACCTTTCTGGGGGGGTCCGCCCCCCTTAAATTTTAACTCTCGCGTTTCTTGTGGATACCCCAACAACTGAAATATTTTCCTTTTCTTGGGCCCGGTCCCCCCCGCCCTTTTTGCTCCCCCTTTCACATTTTTTTTTTTTTCGTCCCGGGAAAAAACCTGAAGGTGGGGGGGGGAATGTCCGCTT